AACACAGCCACTGGTCCAGACCCGGCGGCAGGCGACGGGCACGCTGCTGCCTCCGATTCCGCACGCTCCTCCTCCTCCTCGTCGTCGTCCTCCTCGTCCTCGTCCGAGCTGATGTCGATCTTGTCCCACCGCGAGTAGTCGAGCGCGTCGCGCGGCTGGCTGCGGCCAGAGGTGTGAGGCACGGGCCCCGTACCCAGCGGCGGCTCTGGTGGCGGAGCACCGAGCGTGACGGTGGATGGGCCGTTGAGCCGCGTGACGCGAGGCCTGCGCGGCCGGTCGTCATCGTCCTCCTCCAGCTCCATTCGCTCCCACTTTTTGTAGTCCGTCACTGGCATGGCTGGCTGATTTGCGGTGAAGCAGAGCAAGCACGACGGAAACGCGCCTCAGCCGCGCATTCTTTTTCTTTGATGAGCGCCTTCGTGTTTGTTTCTTTTTGGCACCTTGGAGTGCTGGGGGGGGCGACAGGGAGGATGTGGCCTTGAGTTATGTGTACGCCAACTCAGGGTGTGTGTCAGCCAGCTGGCTGTGTGTCTTGTGAGCTTGTTTGTGTCTGTGTGTCGCTCGTGCGTGTCGTCATCATCTGTCCAGCGTCCACCCATACCGCGTTGGTGTCCAGTCCGAGCCTGGCTGTTCTTCACCTTTCTACCTACCTACCTACCTGTTAATAATAATACAGACGGACGGACACTTGCTGTAGCCACATAACACGCACACACTCACACCGCACCTTTTTCTTTGACTTTACTCTGTTTGGTTTAAAAAGTTTCGCGGTGGACTGTGCGTGGAGTACCGTGGATCCGAGAGAGAGATTTTTAGAAGCCAACAAGAAATGTGTCACACAGAGTGATTTGCGCTCGGCAGCTTGTCGACTACCAGCCGGAGCCGGAGTCGGAACCGTAGCCGAGATGGTCTTCGAGGGTGTCGAATATGTCATTCGCCTCGCTAGTGGAGCCGGTGCCGCATGAGTCGCGGTCGGAGGAGGAGTCGTCGGAGGAGCGGCCGGAGAACTCGCGCTTGTCGCGCCTGATGCGCTCTGCGCCGAAAATGGAGAACTCGCGCTTGTCGCGCCTGATGCGCTCTGCGAGGGGGCCGGGGTCGTGGTCGTCGTGCTCGAGCGTCGGGTAGGTAGCGCGCCTTGCGACCTTGTCGGCCGTGCTGCCGTCCCAGTAGAAGGTGTACCAGTCGCCGCGAGGGTAGTACCAAGCGTTGACCAACCTGTACCGTCCGAGAGCGGCCGCCTGAGCGGCCTGAGCAGCCGCCTGAGCAGCCGCCTCTGCAGCGGCCGCCGCCGCCGCAGCCTTCTGCGCCGCCGCCTGTGCTTCTTGCCTTGTTTTGCCTTCTTCTTGGTGCCCATCGAGGTGTCATCAA